TTTTTGTTACAGTTATTATGTAAAATTATTTTGAATCAAAATAAAATATTTAGACATGTACAGAGGGGCCTAATGGCTTAGAATGCCTGCCTTGTAAGTGTAAAGAGTGAGTACAGTCCAAGGTGGTACTGGGTGTGCCAAGCTGATCCTAGCAGCTCTGCTGTATTTGATCCCTGGTACTGCAAGTGAGATCTGGCTGAATCACAACCAGGTGTGTGAGAGCAAAAAAATTAACGGAGTGTGACTCTGCCAGAAAGAAAACTCTAAAAAGATGTGTGAGTACCACAATAACCTCAGGTGATTAGAATGCAAGCACTGTAATCAAAGATTGCCCTCAGGGGTCTTTGTAGCATCAGGAAGGGCATGAAAGGGAAGCAGGGGGTGGTGGGCAGGGAAGTTACACAATTACAATTTTTTTTAGTGGGCTAAAGAATGGTAATATTGGGGCTTGGGAGATGGCTCTGAAACTTGGAGTACATGCTTTGCACGTGGGAGCACTGGATTTTATCCCCAGAGCCACATAATCTCTCACGCACCAGTGGGAATGGTTTCTGAGCACCACTAGTTATGTTCTCCCTCTTTCCCCCCACTTTAATACTGGAAAACTACTCAAAGAGCAACTAATTTGAAGATGTCTTTGAAAACCTAGGTTCTGTATGGTAAAAATGATAGAAATAAGTTTTTAGATTAAAAAGTCCTTCGATTGCTTTTTCATTTGGCATAAATACTTGTATACGGTACTTTAAAAGGATTATTCAAGAATGAGTGGAGAACATATAATAAGCCAGGCATTATTTCAGTTGGTGGTTTTGTTTTTTAATGCCTGATTCTCCTGGACAGCAATCAGTTCTAACTTGGAATTTCCTGCCTTTGATCTTATTTTAGACTCCCATTTAAAAAAAAAAATAGAACAAAACTATGAGTAAGTAGGGTGTGCTATAACCGAGAAGGAACGGAATTGTAAAGGCAGGAATCTGATCACATTTTGATGTATTTTTGTAGATTGAAACCTGTGAGGTTATCAGAACTCATAGTCACCCAATTTTATTCAGCTATTGAATTACAGATCTTAAGGTCCCTGGGACAGAACGCAGGAATGTGATCATGCCTCATATTATTGGTGACCCTGGGAAACACTAGCTTGGAAGTGAAGAAACTCCCTTCTCACCTGAACTCCAGGAATACCTGTTTACCTTTTTGGCAAGTGGCTTAACCTCTCCAATGTTCAGGTTCTTTGTTTCTCCAATGAAGAAAAAAAAGGAAGGAAAGTGATCTCAGATTTCCAATATAATTATTAGATACCACAACAGAGGGAATCCCTGAAAGAAGTGGCTTGGTCAAAAATAGACGTGTGGTTCTATCTCATGTAATAGTTGGAGTTCCTTGTGTGTAGTTCTGCTCTAAGCAATAGCAGATTAAGGATCCACGTTCCTTCTATCTGATTTCTTCAACAGTGTCCTAGCTAGAGGCATTGTCTTTGTATATGCAGGTGAACTTGAGTTGTTGCCAAGATCTGTTTTTGATTGGGAAGAAAGTGGAGAAAGCAGGCTTCCACCTGAAAGCTGCACACATCTGCTTAAGCTGTAGTGAAGAGAGCTGGATCATATATGTGGTAATACGTAACCATACATGAGACTAGGCAATGTCATAAAGCTGATTCGGCTGTAGTTTTATTATAAGAGAGCAGAGCGATAGCACAGCGGGTAGGGCGTTCGCCTTACAAGCGGCCAACATGGCCAACCCGAGTTCGATTCCTCCGCCCCTCTCGGAGAGCCCGGCAAGCTACCGAGAGTATTCGATATGCCAGACACAGTAACAACAAAGTCTCCAATGGAGACGTTACTGGGCCCGCTCGAGCAAAGAAGACATAGAGATGGCCAATAAACATGTGAATGTAAGTTCTTTTATTTTTAGGGAAAAACAAACCAAAACAGCAATAAGATACCATTTCACATTTGTGAGTATCTGGAAGACAAGAAACAGCATTGGAGAGAAAGTGGAAAGAAGAAAATAGTTCTACACTGTTGGTGGGAATGTAATTTGGTGTAGCCATTATAGAAAACAATATGGAGATTCCTCAAAAATTAAAAAAAAATCATTGAGTTATCCCATTTTTGGATATATGCCCCAATGCAAAAACTATTTTGAAGAGATATATGCATTTCCCATGTTTATTACATTTTTTCAACAGCCAAGAATGGAAAAGAACTTAAGTGCCTATTGAGTGACAAAGGAATAGAGAAGATGTTATAATAAATAAATACATATATGTAATGGAATGTATTTAGCCATTAAAAAGATGAAATCCTGTGATAGATGGATCTTGAGGGTGTCATGCTCTGTTAAATAAGCCAGATGGAGAAAGACAAATTCCGTGTAATTTCACTGAGTTGGTATACAGAGAAAGCAGATGAACTAAATACAGAGAAAATGAACTTTTGGAATATTAAAGCAACCAGTGGTTACCAGAATGAAAGGGGAAAGTGCGGGGCGGGTGGGGGGGGGGGGGGTGAGCCGGACTTTTAAAAGAGGCAAATGTGTGGTGAAGGTAGAAAACTTAGTGTAGTGTATCCGTGAGGCACATCTGAAGCATAATGCTCTAATGTAATGGTAAAAGTAAAATAAAAGGATAGAGCAGACTAATATTGAAGGAGGGCTGACAGTTTTGTCAGTAGCTGTTACATTGACAGTTTCTGCTAAATTGGCTCTGTCATACCACTTAGTCATGCCCTCTGCCTCAGCTTGATCTGGAGATTATTGTCTAACAACATGAAGTGTTTTCTATTCTCAACTAAATTTAATCATGATTTAGTGGTTTCTTTGAGAATATGATGATTTGAAATGATGATTTTCTTACACTTGTTCTTTATTGTAAAAAACTTTTCCTATGTGATTTCTCCATGATCTTTTTGTTTTTATGAATCTTACGGTTAGGAGGGCTCAAATTGTCTTGTTCTGTTAATTTGAGAATACAGGAGGCAGTTGGATTTTGAAGTGAGAGCAGTAGCTTATGTTTCTGGCAGGTGACAGGATTTAATACAGTGTGGTGAAATAGAATCCAGCTGCCACACTTCTAGAAAGGTATTTAGAAATTCTTAGGGACCAGGTCGTGGTAAGAGAGGAGCTAAGGTTGAAGAACAAGAAAGGTATTCTTGCCAGACAGCAGGGCAAGGTGGGTGGTTGAAAAGTGTTAACTGTTTATTCTAAATAGTTTTATTTTTTTAAAAGGTGGAGCAAAGTAGGAGAGTCTGCTAGATACTTCTTTTTTTTTTTTTTTTGTAGGCGTACTGCTTCTGCTAGATACTTCTGAGTCACAATTTTGAGAAATGTATACAGTAATATATATTTATTGATGATGCTTATCAACTTTTGGATAACCTGTTATTTTTTAAAAAACAGTGAAGGGATTTTTCAAAATATGTGCTGAAAATCCTTAGCAGTTGGTGTCAAAGCTTAAGTTATAGAGGAATTAAAAACTACATTCGTGTCCTGTATTTTATATTTCTGAAAAGTCTTCTTAATATGAGTGAGGTATATATATTTTTTAAAAAATCGGTAGGCTGATGATACTGTTCATGTAAATGTAACTTCAAGAGTGAATTCTCTATAGCCCTGACTTCCACTTAAATCACTGCCCTACATCTTTCCTGTATACAAATTTGTGGTCAAGAATACTAGGGTCAAGTTCTGTCTGTGATCTTTGAACTCTTTCTTCCCTTGTAAAATCCCTCCTTTGGCTTCCCATGGGGCTAGGTGGCTGTATTTGGGTAGGTTTTCTTTTGTTTTTCAGATTAAGCCCTGCATTTGAATTTGACACTAAATAGTTTTGAGTGATATATGGTGGATACTTTTATGTCCTAGACAAATTTGGGAAATTTCAAATATTCTATATGTATCTTTATATAGCTGCAGCTCCATTATTCTCTCTCGTGCAAAACAGAGAGATAGATTCTCTTGGATGTATTCCTCTGGGGATGAAGCAAGTTTGCAGTTAAGATGGTAATGCTTAAGTTAGACAAATGCTTTGATTAACTTTGAACTTAAAGCTATTATGAAAAAATTCCCTTCTGATTTAGATTTAACTGCACTACTGGCAAAAGGACCGTTTAGTGATGAACACTTTTTTTGTGACATCGTTTATGTAGCATGTAGTGATTGATTACAATTTAGTAAAGAACATCATTCTATTAAGTAATATATAAATGTTTTCTTTAATGTTTCCAATGCTCAAGGGACTATGGAATTAAAAGTAAAATAGACTTCATGCTACACTGCCAAAGCCAGAGCAAGTATTCGTATTTTTAAAAAAGCTTTTTCTGGGGCCGGAGTGATAGCACAGTGGGTAGGGCGTTTGCCTTGCACATGGCATCCCATATGGTCCCCCAAGCACTGCCAGGAGTAATTCCTGAGTGCAGAGCCAGGAGAGACCCCTGAGTATCTCTGGGTGTGACCTACCCCCCAAAAAGCTTTTTCTATGAGACTATGACTTAGTACCTTGAAAGGTAATTGATTGTCATTACTATGAAACACCAGTCTCCAGCAGAGGCATTTTGTAGTTTTTTGGCCAAGGGTACCAAATTAAGGATGATAAAAAATTGTATTGTACTTGGATAGTGTTTTATTTTTTATTTTAAGTTTTTTTTTGGAGGGGGGCACACTCAGTCATGCTCAGTGGTTACTTCTGACTCTGAACTTAGGAATCATTCCTGGTGGTTCTCTGGGGATTGAATATGTGCAAGGCAAGTGACCGACCCTATCTGCCATCACTTTGACCCCCCAACTAGTGTTGAGAGTGCTTTATGACCACTTTTAATAGGAATGGTGAAGTTAGTACAGATTTAAAATGCCGAATTTCTATTTTATTCCTTTTGGTTGTGCTAGTGATAGAACCCAGGACTTTATGCATGTAAAACAAGTTCTTTATTGCTGGGCTACATTTCTAGACTTTGAAATAGGTATTTATTTTCCAAATGTCACATTAAAATAAGCATTGTGCGTCTGGCGCGCGGACCCCGGCCCGGTTCTGACCGGCCTGGCCAGCACTCCCGCGCAAACACCATGCTCTTCTATTCCTTTTTCAAGTCCCTTGTGGGCAAGGACGTGGTGGTGGAACTCAAGAATGACCTGAGCATCTGTGGAACGCTCCATTCTGTGGATCAGTATCTCAACATCAAATTAACGGATATCAGTGTCACCGACCCTGAGAAATACCCCCATATGTTGTCGGTGAAGAACTATGTTCAGTTGCCAGCAGATGAGGTTGACACACAGTTACTGCAAGATGCAGCAAGGAAGGAGGCCCTGCAGCAGACACAGTGACAGTCCCGCGGCCCTCTGCCCTCCTGGCCCAGCCAGGACCCTCCCCTAGACAGTCGGGTGCTGTGTTGTTTTGTCATGGCTTTTGTTTGTTTTTTTTGAAGAATGAACAGGTGGAAAAAAGTAATAGTGGGGGGGGGGGGGCAACTGTCCTCTGTTGAGAACAGGAGACTAGATCCATAGGCCAGGGAACTGCCAGCCCTTCCCCCCCTCCTTTCCGTGGGCAGCAGAGACCCTCCCTAGATCTCATCAGGGCAGGAGGTGATTCATTTTGGGATGGAAGGAATCTGTCTCCCGCATCGGGAATAAAATTTATGATGGCAAAAAAAAATAAGCATTGTATTTTGTAAACTTGGATATTAGTCATCTATCTACAAGATTTACTCCAGTGACCCACTTCTTGGTGACTGTCATCTTTTGGGGATGTTCAGTTTCTTTACTGCCTTAATAAACTACTTACATAACCAACTATTTAACTGGTCTCTAAAGCATATTGGGATTCCAGAATTTAGGGACTAGATCAGAAACTATAAGCCCACAGTTTCTTCTTCCATAGTTTATTAAAGTAATATATTATTGTCACTCTTGTGATATGCTGTTAATGTTGATAACCTTATCTTCTTCTCTGGGATGCTGTTAAAGTTTATTGTCGACAGAGTGAGATTGGATCATCAGGAAACACTGTACTTGGACCCCATTAGCTGAGTCTCTTTTTCTGAATTACATATTTTGTAATAGCCATTATTTTCTCATGATTTGTGTGTACAAGAATACGAATTTTCCCTTTCCATAGATTATTGAGCACATTCCCGAATATAACCCACTGCACCCCAAATATAAAGTCTAATGTGGAACTTTCCTCAGAGTTTAGGGCCATGAAAAAGTTAGCTATTTTTGGTAAGGGGAAGAATTTTGAGCACATGGTACTATTTTGAAAATCATTTTAGTCAAAGTGGAATTAGACAGCAGGTGGAAATGAAGTCAAATAAGTGAGACTCTTGATGGAGGGCTTCAAAGCTAGGAATCGGAATTTTCATTTATCCTGGCAAACAATTGAAAACGTACTGCGACTCCTTCACAGGGAAATGATGTGATGGAAATAGCATTTTAGGCAATTATTCTGACAGCAGTGCAGGGGATGAACTCAGGCGCAGAGAACCTCAATTCTAAGCAGTTACTAAAGTAAGCTAATGTGAATTAAGACGCGGAGTGTAGAAACAGGGAAGGGGGGGATACTGAACCTCTGGAAACAACAAATCTGACTTTGTGACCTAGAGGTCAGATCAGAGAATTGTGTCAAGGAAATTTCAAAAAAAAAAAAAGAAAAGCTCAACTGAAATGCAAACAGACTTAATGAGAGAGAGAGGAAGTACTTAATTATTTTCAACTACCTTAGTTTCTATTCTTTATCAGAAAGAGTAGTGGACTGTTGGGAGATGTCGATGATGACTTTGGGAGAATTGTCATGAAAGGAAGAGAACAGCAGGCAGAGAGAGAATTGTAGTATTTCCTGTAAGACCAAAGATGAAACCCAAAAGGCAGACCGGACTGAGGACTTGGAGGGATTGGTAGTGTTTTTCCAGGAAAGATGACTGTAGACTTAACAGGTATTTCTAGAAAAAAGTGCTGTGCCCAGATAAATTTGCTAATTCTGGGGTGGACAAAGCTAAGCAAGCTTTTGGGGGCCGGAAAAATAGCACAGTGAGTAAGACATTTTCCTTGCATACAGCCAACCTGTGTTCTATCCCTGACATTCCATACGGTCCTTTGAACACTGCTAGGAGTAATCCCTGAACATTGCCTTCCCCACCCTCCAACCCCCCGAAAAATTCTTATTTAATACTGATGAACCATTCTTTATATCTCTAAGATCTATCTCTCCCAATAGGGCTTCATGTAGCTAATGCTCTGCTTGACACTCGAATATTCATTTGACATCTAATGCTTAGATATCAAAAATGGAATTCCTGCTCTTTCTGCCTGTGAGATTTGTTTCTAGATTTCAATTGCTAGTAACTTAATTATTATTTTTTTAGCCACACCCAGTGATTTTCAAGGGTTACTCATGGCTCTGTCCTCAGGAAACACTCCTGGCAGGGCTTGGGGGGGCCCATATGGGATGCCAGGGATTGAACCCAGGCTGGTTTGTCCAAGGCAAACACCCTACCTGCTCTACTGTTGCTGTGACCCCCTCCATCTTTTTCTGTCAGTGAAAAGTGGCCTTAGTAATGTATGAGTGGTTTAATTTTTAATGTAAAAATGCCTTGAGAAGTTTCTTAGATCAAAAGCTTTGAACTGTCATTGTCCTGAAATTTCACCTCTTTTCTCCTCTAGTTCTTTGGCAGCCACATTGACTTTACCTTCAGGTCTATTCTGCATCTGACAGCAGATATATTGGTTCTATTCAGGTCTTACTCCTTTTTTCTTCCTGTAGTAGCCATTCATTTCATAAATACATGTCTACGTTTAGAGCATAGGCCAACATTGTAAAACGTCTACAAAGCCTTTTATGGTCAGCCTTCTCGTTGACATGATGTATCATTCTCTTCCTCCTCCCTGCTTCTGACTCTCCTTGCTCTTTCTAGAACAGGCCTTTGTCCTCCCTCCTTCCCTCCCTTCCCATAACTTTTTCCCCTGTGATATTTATTTTGGTATGTGATTCACAGTACTAATAATCAAGTTTCAGGCATACCATGTTTCCACATCATACCCACAACCAGAAAATCAGTGTATACCTCCACCAGTGTCTTAAGATCTTCTTGCCACCCACCATCTTTGGCAAATAGTTCTGTAGATAAATTCTCCCAGGTGCCCTTGCCATTGACCAGACTCTCCCAGATGCCCCTACCATTGGCCATTTGTTATTTCCTTACTAATTTTCCTTATATTTCACATGTCAGAGAGATCATTCTGTATCTGCCCCTCTCCATTTGACTGACTTCACCTGGATGCTATAGTTTTATCCAAATAGTGTTGTATTGCACATTTTCATCTTTTCTTACAGATGAGTACGTTACATTGTGTGTGTGTATGTGTGTTTAAATCTACTCCTCAGTTCTAGAACAAGTGGGTTTTTTTTTGTTTGTTTTTGGGCCACACCCAGTGATGCTGAGGCTTGTGGCTCTGCTTTCAGGAGTTACTCCTGGTGTTGCTCGGGGGATTATATGGGATGCCCCGATCAAACCCAGGCTGGCCACATGCAAGGCAAACATATCCTACCCTCTGCACCATTACGTGAACAAGTTTTCAGTACTTGATTCATTTCGGACTTTTGCACTTACTATTTCCTGTGCTTGTAAGACTTTGTAGTTACCCGTGTGGCTGTTTTCCAGAAGTCACCTTCCTTAGAAGGAACTGCTGACTCTGACTTACGTGTTTATGACAGAAAATGTGTCCTTCCTCCATTCTGCATCTCTTTTAGTTTGTGTGATTATTTTGCCTTTGCATTTATCATCAGGCTATATGATAAACACACACACACACACACACACACACACACACACACACACACACACGATGTTTAGGAGTTACTGCTGGCTCTGCACTCAGGAATTGAACCCAGTTGGCCTTTTTTTTTTTAAGGTTCTAATATAAAAATTCATTTATTTACAATCTTTACACAATATGTTTAATCTTTAGAATTTGATTCAAACATCTTTATTATTAGCCTGCAGTATATCTTGAGAACCATATGGCCTGAATACTGACCAGATTTTAGCATGGGTCCCTGTCATAGTAAGGAGAACTTGCAGTTATTTACAAGCATAGGGTATAGAAAATTTTCTAAAGAATCAGAAGGAAAGGAAAAATATGAAAACTTTGGAATGAGAAATAAACCTGGCTACAGAACAAGAGTTGCACAGTAACTGGTTTTCTTAAGAAAGGCAATAGAGACTCAGAAATCAGAACTGGCTAACCTAATTTATTAGGAAACCAAAGGAAAATAACATCAGTGAGGAGAGTTGTAACTTCTGTGGGGCTGAGTTTTCAGCTCACAGCTAGGATTTAGGATATGTTCAGGAAATTTTGACTTGGTGTTCCTGAAGTGATTTTTATCACCTGGATAAAATATAGTACAGAAAAACAATGGTGAATTTAAAATGTTCAGGAAATTGAAGAGAATATGGCAACTTCCTCAAATATATGAAAAAAATACCTCAACCTCTAAATCCAAATGGGTGGATATGACCAGTTCACTGTATCACTGTCCTCCCGATGTTCATTGATTTTGCTCGAGCGGGCACCAGTAATGTCTCACAACAAATTGTGAGACTTGTTGTTACTGTTTTTGGCATATCGAATACATCATGGAACCAATTCAAAGCAAACTTTTTTTGTGTGTGTCACACCTGGCGATGCTCAAGGGTTACTTCTGGCTCTTCACTCAAGAATTACTCCTGGTGGTGCTCGGGGGACCATACGGGATGCTGGGAATTGACCCCGGGTTGGCCGTTTGCAAGGCAAATGCCCTACTTGCTGTGCTATCGCTTCAGCCCAGAAACAAACTTACTATTATTATTATTTTTAATTTTTATTAGTGAAACACGATGAGGTACAGTTGTACACTTACAAATTTTTGTGCTTGGGTTTCACTTATACAGTGGTCCCTGGTTGGCCTTTTGGAAGGCAATACTTTCTCTACCTACTGTACTATTGCTCTGGTCCCTTTTCTTTTCTTTTTTTTTTTCTTGTTAGTGTGTCTTGAAATTGGCCTTGCTTGACAATATGGTTCAAGCATTTAGATCAGTGCCTGACATACAACTGGAGCCGATTGTTTGTTAAATGAGTGAATCTTCAAGATGGCTATATATATATCCTAACACAATCTTCCCTCTTCTCCCTATGGAGATCTCTTTTTCCAGGGTTTCCCAGAATTTGTGAAATTTTCAGACATCTGATGGAATTCAAAAAGGGAAAATTCTAGGAAGGGTGGATAGATTTGCATAACAGAGAGGTTGAAGAAATTTTCACCTGCCTAAGCTAATGAGTAGACATTTAAAATTGCTTTATTGTTGGTTTGCAATGTTACAGAATTTTAGACTTGTAGCTTTGTT